CCCCCCCCAACCTCACACACAGGGAGCCCAGATCACACGCAGCATTCAGAGGCCATCTGGTGCTGCACCGGGCCCCACATGGCTACTGACAGCTCTGCTTGTCCAGTTGGAAAAGGCAGGGGGCACTACTCAGATCTTCCGTTTCTTCCATTCGGGTTCATCATCATCCTCCTCGTCCTCAGCCTCCACATCAGCGAAGACAGTTTTAGGCTGCGTCCTGGGAGAATGGAGGGATGGGAACAGCACCGATATCATCATCAGGCTGACACAAGCGGGGTTAATCATCAAGGAAGAGCTGAGGGGGACATGTGAGGTGAGGGACTGGCAGGGGGAGCGAGGCAGAGGAGGATGAGAGCCACAGCTGCAGCAGAAAGTGAGTGTGAGGAAGAGAAAGGTGTGCAGGACAGGGGCCTCCCAGTGACAGGAAGTGGCCCCTAGGGGTCCCTGAAGGGCTCTCGGCTTTTGTCAGTCAAGTCAAAATAGCTCATCTCAAACACAAACTGTCCTTTTCTAACACTGTCACACTTAGGGAAGCACAGGGACTGTGCACTTGGGGCTCTACATCGGCTTCTCATACTGCAAAACCTTCAGAAACCAAACGAAAATGCAGGAGGAATGCTGGCCATGTGATCAGAGCGTGTGTGGGTGTATGTGTGTGCAGTGCTCGTGAACCAGCACACACACACACACACACACGGGACCGTCCAAAACACTGGAAATAGCTGCAGTGAAAGGCCTGAGATTAATGAACGCAGAGCTTATAAACACAGTACGAATGGACTGTGTGCAGCCAGCCAGACGGGGAGGTCCAGAGAACACTGGAGACATGGTGGGGAGGAGACATAAAACAGGGGGGGGGCCGTCAGCATCCTGCCTGCTCTGAGACTGAGGAGGAACAACATGGCCATCCTGGCCCCGCCCCCGGCCGGCTCCCCCAGCTCAGACAGGTCTGCACCCCTGAGGCTCTGGCTTCCTCACTGGCTCACCGGGGCACTTGTGCTTTGCTGCCACAGGAATTCTGTTTACAGTGGCTCAGAGCACGTCCCCCTTACCCCTCCAGTAAGGGCAGCCTGCGGCCAGGCACGGCGGGGGGGGGCCTTCAGTCATGCACATCTGTGAGCAGTGAGACACCTGCCCAAGCATACTGAGGAGCGGAGCTGGCCTGTGATGACTGTGTGTGATGTCATGCACCCCCCCCCCATCACGCCGTACTTGGCATAGGCCGGGGCGATCCAGTAGGGGTCATTAGTGGCTGCCTTGGCGTGCCGCAGGATGGCCTCCCTCGGGTTACTGTCGTCCGTCTTGTCCAGAGCGATGTTCTTCACGATGTACGAGGAGAGCGTGCCGCCATGTGCCGCCACGCGGCCCCCCCGACCTGTCCGTCACAGGTAGCTGGTTACCACGCTGCCCAATCCGCATGGGCTACACATAACTTAAGGCGTGCTTCAGCCCAACCCCGCCCCCTAAATCAGAGCCACCTGACAAATCTGAAGGGGGATGCAATACCTGGTCCAGACACAGGGGGCTCTGGTTTGTGGGACCTGACCGGGTCCAGACGGTCCTTCTCCAGCTGTTTCCTGGTGCTACGCTGCCGGGCCTCTCGGAACATGGGGAGGGCGTGGGCTGGAGGGGGGGTGGAAGAGAAGAGGGAGGTGACACCCTCACAAGCAGACTGCACACTGGGCCCTACCTGCATCACATGACCGGTGTGACGGTACACATACATGGCAGCAATGATGTCATACTTACGTGTGATGATGTAATCCTGGGTCAGGGTCTCTGCATGCCTCTCCTTCCTTTTGTTCTTCACCACACATAGTTTGGCTCCTCTGTAACAATGACGTTGGGGGAAGAGTCTTTATAACAGATTACCAGATAAAAGATGAAAATTTGGCTCAGGGTGCTGACTAGTTTAGTACAAAACTAAATACTTAAATAGAGCCTATGGTGCTAACTAAGTTAGCATAGCACTAAATGGCTTGGGGTGCTGCCTCTCGCAGTACTGTGCAGTACTGTGCTCCTGTATTCCTAGATGGACCTTCTCCACATACCAACCAGCCTGTGGCTCAGTTCTACACTAAAAGCAGAAGGAGTAGAACGTCCTCTGTGCAGAATAAAAGCCTTGATCAAGCAGGACAATGTCCTGAATGTTAGGAGAGAGACAGAAGAACACAGGAGTGTGCACCCACACACACTCACAGACACACACTCACAGACACACACTCACAGACACACACTCACAGACACACACGCCGAGCTACAGCCTACCTCTGGCTCTTGACAGGGTCATAGTAGACCTTGGCCAGGCCATTGCTGGTTCCCACCATGATCTGGTTCAGCTTGGGGTGCCAGAGGCAGCGAACAGCACTCTGAGGAACAGAAGAGGTGTTATGAAGCTGGCCCACATAAAGGAGTCGTCAGATGTCAGCAGCTTCGGCGGGAGCCACGGGAGCCTGGCTTTGGAGGTGCTCCCAGCACACAAACACGTCTAGGTAACAGACTCCAGTTTAGTGGCTCATCTGCTCAGATTTATGGCCCTTGTGGAAACACTACAACTTCCACTTGATGGTTAGGAATTGCAGAGACAGCACCACCTAGAGGGCAAGGAACTACAGCCATACCAGCACGGCCGACTCGGAGAGGCCTGGAGACTGTATCACCCACGCTTCTGCGAGCGAGTGGTCATAAGACATGGGCCATGGGTATCCACACACCACTGCATGTAGTCGTGTGCAGTTGGTCTTTACACACACACACGGGCTGCCTCTCCAGCTCCGAATACCCAAGACACCAAACATCTCATGAAGAATGCCAACATCTCGCTGACCGGCAGTCGGTCGAGAAATTCCGTTCCGCCCCATGGAGCTGAAGCAGACCCAGGGAAAAAAATCCATGCAGAAGAGGAAGACGAGCCTGGACGTGCCTGGCAGCCATGGCGGAGACCCCAGGCTCCCAGAAGCCTCTGGTTACTGCTCACAGTCCAGCATTCACAGCATCCTCAGAGAGAAGCTACACCAAAACAGCACATCAAACCATCCCACCTCAGGACGTCATGAGCCAGACCTGAGGTTGCAGGAGAAGACTCTCATTGCAGTGCTGCTTGCCCCAACCTATAGAGGGCGCCCTGGTGCCATGTGAGGCATTTATGTGGTGGGGCATTTCCATCACCATTTCTCTAACTACCCACAATGCAGATCTTGAAACAGGATAGGGCTCAGACACATTGGCACCTCTGCCTTCAGACATTTGGCTGGTGCTCACATCTCGGGCTGCTGTGGGGGGAACAGTGCAAACACCGTAAACAGCTCAGCACGAAGGATGGCTCCCAGCAACCCCTAAGACCCAACAAGTGGGGAGTGTCAAGGAGCTGTGGAGAAGCCCAGAGGCTGATAACCTTCAGGCCACACCCCTCTTGAGAGGCCACACCTCCTGAGAGCAATGTAGTAACACCCAGGGGGCATGACTGAGAGGGGCAGGAATGACAAACAGCCGTGGAACGAGCAGACACACAAATCAGACGTGACAGGTCGCAGAAATGCTCCACACTCCTGATTTGTTCTAGTGTGCTGAGCGCAGCGGGTGGGGGGAGGATGGCAAACGTCAGTCACACCAAACGGAGCGAGACGCATGCTCACGCCAAGCAGCCTCAGAGACTGGGCATCCACTGTAAAGGTGCTGTAGGTCCAATAACAAAAACAGCATGTCATGGAAGGTCCTCAGACTGATCCTTCTACCACGTGGCCCGTGCCATTTGCAGCCGCGTCCAATCACACTCACCGAGTCAAACACCTCGATCTCATACACCTTCTGGAAAGAGGCTCTGTGGAAGAACACCAGCTTGCCGTTTCCCTCACCCTTCCTGACCGAGGTGCCCGTGACTAGCAGCTGATCATCTGGGCTGAAGCTGCAGTCTGTCCTGTGAGTGGAAGGGGGTGAAGGTTAGGTGGTGGGTGTGGCGTCTTTGGTTTGCTCCAGCAGTCACCCCCACCGAAGGTATGGCACCCAAAGCACTCACATGGGAAAGAAGCTGGGCAGGTCTGAAGCTGAGTTAAGAGGCTTCTTAAAGTTCCGGATGTCCCAGGTCTTCAAAGTGTCATCTCCTGGAGAAGCAGATAGAGGAGGGGATGAGGATGGCGCCGGGACACGCAGCCTTGCCTTTCCGTCTCTGCTCAGACCACATGCGAACAGGTAAAGTACACAGCAGGACCATAAATGGGCAGGAACAGAGTCCCTGTTACCTAAACCCAGGCTCTTATAATGGAATCTGTTTAATTGGTAACAGCTAAATAAATAATGCTAAATTTAGTAAATAATGAAGACTGTTCTGGGGGGGTGGAGAGGTTGAGAAATCAATTTTATTTGCAGCTTGCAGTTTTACTGCAGACCTGTTTTGCTGAACTTCAAGGGACAGAGTTTATATTAAAAAGGAGAGAAATGGGAATGACTGCAGTCCTGCCGGGCGGCACAGAGACCGGGGTGGGGGGGGACCTGTGCCATGTAGGACCAGGGGACTTTGTCCAAGCCACCGACAGGACGGGGCTGAGCAGGGGGCACAGTCATAGCTGGGGGGGGGGGGGTTATGCCATGAGGATCTGCCCAGTGTGTGCCCATTGCTGTCTCCTACCTTGACAAAGCTCACTATGGTGAGTCCCTTCTTAAAACTGCTGCAGTACCTGGGTGTGGTTCTAGGAGTCTCACCTCCTCGTGAGGCCAACGTCGTCCCATCATAGGAGAAGGTGAGGCAAGATGTGTCAGAGCCCGGGGCATGAGCTTGGCGACAGTGAAACTTGGTGTGCACCTATGACGGGACAAGAGACAGACCATCATGTCAGCTCAACGAACCCCAACCCTGTAAACCTTCAACAGGTTAGTCAGTCACCTAAAACCTATGCAACCAGAGGGGTGACATTTTTGCCAAACAGAACACTGTTTTGCCAAAGATGAGATAATTCTCACAAGCAATTCCCACATCACTCCTCACTTGACGTTTTGTCAACTTGGGTGATCTGAACACAACTCGGCACACTTTACAGCTGGACATGTCTGTATCCTTCTGGATCTCAATGTACTAGGAAGCTAATGTTAACGGGGAAAACTAGCAGATTTCGCAGACCTGGAAAAACAAACTTTTTTAATAGCCTGTTGACATAATCACTTTACATTCCCCCATGAGTTTTCAGGGAACTTTCGCTGAAGATGAATTAATCCTACATGGGTTTAGTTCTTTCTTTTCCTTCAGAGTAGCTGTTACAGTAACCCAATCTGGGCCAGGCCGTGGACCAGTTCAAGCTTCACCCAAATCCTTCAGTTGCCTGCAACATCTGTGCTACAAAAACAGGAGGGGCAACCCAGTGCTGATGGCAGAGGACCAGCTTCTCAGTGGCCTCGGCGCACCCAAGCTCATTCTGGCCGAACAGTCACACCACAAATCTAAAGTAACCTGCTCACAATTTGCATTTCCTTCCAGACTCTAATGCACAGTTTCTTTTGATAATGGGTCACTCCTGTGATTCTGATCTCATTGATATCAAGGGGTATTAGGTACGGCTGATGAGAAAAACACATTATCCATGCATCAATAAAAGTGATGCGTAACAGTCTTAGATAGGCTGTCAAGACTGAATATTTTTGTCATGCGACAAGCAACACATGAAGTGCCAGAGATGTACTTAAAGAGCATCTGTGCAGGACTGCAGTTGGATAGCCCGTTACCTGCCGGAAGAAACTCTGGTCTTGGGGTCCAGTTTGAACAATCCAGAATCAAGTGAACATATACAACTGAAGCACATGAGTGAGCGGGCCGTATACCACTTATGGACAAGGCCCTGAAATATCAGACTGATTTTGCTCCAATTCCATGTTAGGCCTGATGTATGTTGCTTCTTCCTCATCTGAGGGAAAGGGCTAAACATAACTTGGTGGTAGTATCACAAACTCCCGTCTGGCTCATCTCAAAAGCAAGCCAGCGAGGCCCCATCACCAGACCCCTGGCCCCAAACTCTGCCCCCTCTGGCTCTGCCCGTGACAGGGAACGAACAGAGAAGATTTCACGCTTCAGCCATATTCTGAAGAGGGAAGCCTGCCAGCCTTGTCTTTGTGGAATCTCAGCTTAAAAATGGATGGATTTGGGGGGAGGGTGGGGGGTGGCAGAGGAGGAAGCCGTCCCAGGCTTTGAAGGAGAGGTCGCCGTCTGAAGGCACACTGAACCCTCCCCAAAGTGATTTCATTCATGCAGCAGGGGAGTACCTGCTTAGCGGTAATGGGTTACAGAAGGTATGCCCTGGAAAGCTGCGCTCTCTCAAGAGAGAAACAGACTCCAGATTTACATAAAGGTTTCCATACCACACCGCCTTGTTACTACAAAAGCAGGCTGGTCATCCGAGGGGCATGAGCAGGGGGGATGTGAGCATGTGATGTGGGAGATGTTTACAAGCACGGCCATGGGCCACAAAGCTGACCAGAGGCCGCTCTGAAAGCAGACTGTCGGGGATGTGCAAGAGTGTAAACCCACATCTAAACGGACGACGGGTGGAGAGAGCAACACCAACTACTCCATTGCAACCTCACAAGACATTTGCTTTTTTTCAGGCAGAGGAACAGCCCAAAACTCCACTATCACTTGGTTCCAGAGGACCCGTGGGTGTAAAGGGATGGGGGGTTGTATGCAAAAATAATGACTTGGGACCCTCAAACACGCACAAACATGGTGGTAAGGGAACTGTTATGAAGTGCTTTAATGAACTTCAGAACCAAAACAGAGTGTGAGGAAGATCGAGAGACTTGAAGGAAAAACACATAACTGTCAGCAGTGAGGGATTCAGACAGCTGCATCGGACAGGACTCGGCTACCTGATCCTCGGAAGCAGCAGGACTAAGAGATCGCAAGACATTCAGACGGTGAAAAACCTACAGCAGTGTTTGGGAGGGGGAGAAGTGGGGTTCCAGCCACCAGGGAACGTTCCTAGAACTTTAGGTAACGTTAAGTGAAGGTCTTCACAAAGTTGGCAGAGAATGTTCTTACTGTAATACTAATGAAACACATTTTATTGGTTAGCACTGTTGCCTCACACCTCTGGGATCAGGGTTCGAGCCTCTGCCATGGCTCGATGTGTTTGGAGCTTGCATGTTCTCCCTGTGTCGTCGTGGGGTTTCCTCCGGGTACTCCAGTTTCCCCCCACAGTCCAAAAACATACTGAGGTTAATTGGATCTTCTAAATTGCTTGTAGGTATATGTGTGACTGTGCCCTGTGATGGGTTGGCTCCCCATCCTGGGCTGTTCCCTGCCTTGTACCCGTAGCCTCCGCGATAGGACAAGCAGTTTCAGAAAATGGATGGATTAATGGATTTTAGTAAAGGTTCTGTCAATGTCAGCAAGATAAAAGTATATACCTGAAGATCCTTTTAACACAATTAATATTGAAAAATAAAATTTTAAAGCAATATTTCATAAGAGCGCTTCATGTGTATATTACAAACACACCGTTCGGTCTTGAACGCTATTACCCACTTCTCTTCCATACCCTTCATTAATTTCTACATTATTAGTCTTATTTGTAATAGCTGTTGTAGAAGTGGGATTCTGGGAATCTTTCTGGCTCCCTGATGGTTTTTCGCATCATGCTCATTTTAAGGATATAACAGGCTCATTGGTCATGGTACCATGTGATCCTGTTCAGTATTTATTGTATAACATTCCACAGTCTCTATGGGAATGATGTACGTGAGTTTGGAATGACAGATGCAGGTCAGACCCACACGCACACGTAAGCTTGCCCTTCAGCACAAAGCTCATAGCATCACATCTGGAAGTCCATTTCACCATCCGTCCTGCAGCACACTCTAAACGGGTCTGAGTCAAAACCACTTTCCCATCATCGGTGTGGCCACGTCGCCTAGCAACCTGCAAAACAGCTGGACTGTCGGTACAGTGTAATCAAAGTCCAGGACGAGACAACGCAGGGTGCCCTGGGATCTCTTTCCTAGGATTCATCAGTCCCCGTCATCTCCAATCACAACACTGAGGCCAGAAGCCTCAGATCAGGACCCGTCAGAATAGATGAGCAGCCCCGACAAACCCTTTATCTACTCGACAGCCAGGTTAAGCTGAGGTGACAGGTGGAGCACTCCCGCAAGCCACTCCACAGCAGAAGACTGCGCACCCGTTGTCAGTGTACCGATGGGAAGCCGGCCAGCAGGAGACCCCACAAACAGATACAGACCGTCTCCCTGCCCGCCGAGGCAGGACTGACGCTTCAAAAATGTCGGAGCTTTTCCAACCCTGCTGACATTTCCCAAACTTACCCCCCCCCCACACCTGCCTGAAACCCCAGATGATGAGGCCCCCATCACCTTCACGCACTGTTTTTCTAAGCTGCTGAGGAATTCTGGGTAAATATTTAGTCTCGGGGGGCGGCCACATAATAAATTGCAGGTTGTCCCATCAGTCCTGCCCTTTTGCTAGGGAGAGGCAGCTGGATATCTTTGGGGGGGTGTGGGGGGACAAATCACAATTACTCACGATGAGCCACGAGACGGACGAGAATCACACAAAGGCTAGAATCACATATAAAAATGTAAAGGCAAAGGTCAAAGGTCCAGTGTGTGTTTTGTCAAGTTTGAACCCCCGCCCCCCTTTAAAATAAACACACAGTAAGGTCTTTAAGCACAAAGCTGCTGTCCGGGGGGGGGGCAAACTACTGAGCCACACTCTGGGTTAAAGTGGTGGGCGCTTAAGCGCTGTCTGGCCTTGCATGCACAGAAACAGAGCCTCATTTGTCTGAAGAAGCAGGGGCATTAGCAGCAGCGCCCCTAGTGGCAGCAAGCAGAATGAGAATAGGGTACAGGGCACAGGACAGAAAAGGCCGTGGATATCGCAGCTGCCATCAGCCGGCCCCTGGGGCGCCGTTCCGCCTCAACAGACTCACACAGGGCAGTCTGTCAGCCCTCCGATACAGAACACGCTGCTGACGTCAGGCTAATCAGGCCTATTCGCACCCCCATTACATCTATTCATGTACGGATTCCTCCCACCAGCCCAGCGCTACTGCTCATGCCTGCCCCCTGCAGGACGGGAGACTCACGCTGAGGTTGCGGTCCCAGATCTGGATGGTGCCATCCTGGCAGCCGGCCGCGATGAGCCTGCCATCGCGGCTGTAGGTGCAGCAGGTGGGCATGACGCGCTTGCCCTGCAGTGAGCGTGGCTTGAACACCGCTTTGTGCTTCTTCTCTGAGTTCAGATCCCAGGTGCGGACCGTCCTGGGCAAGAAGACGCATGGATTAGAACCAAGCAGTCACCGCCAGAGGGGTGGGGAGGAGGTGTGGGGGACAGTGGGGGCAGATGTTTGGGTCCATAAGAGAGATGTAACATTACCTGAGTAAGGTACACACTGAGCCCTAACCCTTCACACACTGACCCCTTACCTCACACACTGATCTCTAACCTTCACACACACTGACCCCTTACCTCACACACTGATCTCTAACCTTCACACACACTGACCCCTTACCTCACACACTGATCTCTAACCTTCACACACTGATCTCTAACCTTCACACACTGATCTCTAACCTCACACACACTGACCCCTTAGCTCACACACTGAGCCCTAACCTCACACACACTGACCCCTTAGCTCACACACTGAGCCCTAACCTATACACACTGACCCCTTACCTCACACACACTGATCTCTAACCTCACACACACTGAGCCCTTACCTCACACACACTGACCCCTTACCTTCACACACACTGAGCCCTAACCTCACACACACTGAGCCCTAACCTCACACACTGACCCCTTACCTCACACACACTGACCCCTTACCTCACACACTGACCCCTTACTTTCACACACTGACCCCTTACCTTCACACACTGACCCCTTACCTTCACACACACTGAGCCCTAACCTCACACACTGATCTCTAACCTCACACACACTGACCCCTTACCTCACACACTGATCTCTAACCTTCACACACTGATCTCTAACCTTCACACACTGATCCCTAACCTTCACACACTGATCTCTAACCTCACACACACTGACCCCTTACCTTCACACACACTGAGCCCTAACCTCACACACACTGAGCCCTAACCTCACACACACTGAGCCCTTACCTTCACACACAGACCCCTTACCTTCACACACACTGACCCCTTACCTCACACACTGAGCCCTAACCTTCACACACTGAGCCCTAACCTCACACACTGACCCCTAACCTTCACACACTGAGCCCTAACCTCACACACTGACCCCTTACATCACACACTGACCCCTTACCTCACACACTGAGCCCTAACCTTCACACACTGAGCCCTAACCTTCACACACTGAGCCCTAACCTCACACACACTGAGCCCTAACCTCACACACACTGAGCCCTAACCTCACACACACTGAGCCCTAACCTCACACACA